AAAAAAAAAATGCCATCTACGATAAAAGTTCTAGTAATGACTTGTCAATCTTTTTAAATACAAGTAACAAATGGCACTTTGGCTATATAAACTAATATGACTATAGAAACTAAAAAAAGTTTTATAATTTTTAAAGTAATGTTAGTGAAGAAAATGTAGAAAGCGGACTATCTTTGGCAAATGGCAGGGCAAAGCTACTATTTATCAATAGTCACATTGAACGTTAATGGCCTGAACTATCCAGTTAAAAGACACCGATTGGCTGATTGGGTAAAGGAACAAAACTCAGCTATTTGCTGCATACAAGAAACGCATCTTTCCAACAAAGATCCATACAGACTGAAAGTGAAAGGCTGGAAAAAGATATACCATGCCAACAGAAATGAAAAAAGAGCAGGCGTAGTCATCTTAATATCGGACAACATAAACTTTACCACAAAAACTGTTAGGAGAGACAAAGAGGGGCATTATATAATGATTAAGGGATCAATTCAACAGCAAGATATAATGATTATCATTGTATATGCACCTAATTACAGGGCACCGGTTTATTTAAAAGATTTGTTAAGGGACTTAAAGGGAGACTTAGACCCCAATACAATAGTACTGGGGGACTTCAATACTCCACTCTCAGAAATAGACAGATCAAGAGGACAGAAGATCAACAAGGAGACAGTAGATTTAAATGACACTATAGCCCAAATGGATCTAACAGATATATACAGAACTTTTCATCCTACAGCTAACATGGAACCTTCTCTAGGATTGACCACATACTAGGCCATAAAGCAAGTCTCAGCAAATTCAAAAGAATTAGAATCATACCATGCAGCTTCTCAGACCATAAAGGAATGAAGTTGGAAATTAGCAACTCAGGAATCCCTAAAGCATACGCAAACACATGGAGATTGAACAACATGCTCCTGAATGAACAATGGGTCACAGAAGAAATCAAAAGAGAAATCAAAAATTTTCTGGAAGTAAATGAGGATAACAGCACAACATACCAAAACTTATGGGACGCAGCAAAAGCAGTGTTAAGAGGAAAGTTCATATCAATAGGTGCATACATCAAGAAATTGGAAAGGCACCAAATAAATGAGCTTTCAATTCATCTCAAGGACCTAGAAAAACTGCAGCAAACAAGACCCAAATCTAGTAGGAGAAGAGAAATAATCAAAATCAGAGAAGAAATCAACAGGATTGAATCCAAAAAAAAAAAAAAACATTACAAAAAATCAGCCAAACGAGGAGCTGGTTTTTTGAAAAAATAAACAAAACTGACACCCCAGTGGCCCAACTAACTGAAAAGAGAAGAGAAGAGAAAAGACCCAAATCAATAAAATCAGAGATGAAAAAGGAAATATAACAACAGACACCACAGAAATAAAAAGAATCATCAGAAATTACTACAAGGACTTGTATGCCAGCAAACAGGGAAACCTATCAGAAATGGATAGATTCCTGGACACATGTAACCTACCTAAATTGAACCAAGAAGAAATAGAAAACCTAAACAGACCCATAACTGAGACAGAAAATGAATCAGTAATAAAGGCCCTCCCAACAAAGAAAAACCCAGGACCAGATGGATTCACTGCTGAATTCTACCAGACATTTAAAGAAGAACTAACTCCAATTCCTCTCAAACTATTCAGAACAATCGAAAAAGAGGGAATCCTCCCAAATTCTTTCTATGAAGCCAGCATCACCTTAATTCCTAAGCCAGAAAAAGATGCAGCATTGAAAGAGAATTACAGACCAATATCCCTGATGAACATAGACGCAAAAATCCTCAATAAAATTCTGGCCAGTAGAATGCAACAACACATCAGAAAGATCATCCACCCAGACCAAGTGGGATTTATCCCTGGTATGCAGGGATGGTTCAACATCGCAAATCAATCAATGTGATACACCACATTAACGGACTGCAGAAGAAAAACCATATGATTATCTCAATAGATGCAGAGAAAGCATTCGATAAAATACAACACCCTTTCATGATGAAAACTCTAAGCAAACTGGGTATGGAAGGAACATTCCTCAATATAATCAAAGCAATTTATGAAAAGCCCACAACCAACATCCTATTGAATGGGGAAAAGTTGGAAGCATTTCCACTGAGATCTGGTACCAGACAGGGATGTCCACTCTCACCACTGCTATTCAATATAGTTTTAGCCAGAGCTATTAGGCAAGAAAAAGAAATTAAAGGGATATAAATTGGGAAGGAAGAACTCAAACTATCCCTCTTTGCAGATGATATGATTCTTTACTTAGGGGACCCAAAGAACTCTACTAAGAGACTATTGGAAATCAAAGAAGAGTTTGGCAAAGTAGCAGGATATAAAATCAATGCACAAAAATCAACAGCCTTTGTATACACAGGCAATACCATGGCTGAGAAAGAACTTCTAAGATCAATCCCATTCACAATAGCTACAAAAGTGCTTACCTCTGTATTTCATACCCGAGGGTCAAATGATACTACTTTACTGAGAAAGTGTATTAAAAAAAATTTGATGACTTAAACATTTTAATGTTTTCCATAGTCTCTTTTCTTAAAATTAGAAAGCTCTTTAGGAAATCAATATATTATATTGAGAGAAAACATTGCATGCTGTTCAAAATTTTCTTCAGTTTCACTTCAATCGATTATGACTATCAAATTCAAGTAACACTTATGTAGCACACACACGCTAAGATTAGATACTTCACATTATTTAGTAATTCATTTAACCTCATAACAACATGTTAGTTAGGCATTAGTACATCCATTTGGAAACCAAACACTAAATCTCAGAGACTCTAAGTTAGATGTCCACGCCTGTACAGCGAGCAAGCAGGAAAGGCAAAATCTGAAGATCATGCTCTCCCCTTCAATGCCACACTGTTTCTTACACTAAAAAGCATGTAGAGTGTGACTGGAATTATTCTATGGATTTTAATGTATAATATAAATAAATATTAATTCAAAAATTAATTATATGGATACATCTATTCAACCATAAATCATCTATCCTTCTAGATAACAATATTTGAATACATAAATAAAGAGAAAATATTGGAGTAATGTTTGCCTGTTGGTAAGAATGATTATTTTGGAGTAGGAATTGGGGAATTTGGTTTTACTTTTTTGTTTTATTTTAATTTCTCAACTTGTTCATTGTTTCATACTGAGTCTCTATCAATCTTAAAAAAGCCATTAAGCTAAACAAGAAATAAATCACATTTCCTAATCACAATATGAACACAGACATTGCTAATTATTTATGTCTTCTCTCTAATGAACCATGTTTAATTAGTACTTTATTCTGATCCTCCACAGAGGCTATCATAACACTGCACAGAGCAAATACACAGTTAAGAATATTCACTGATCATCATTTACTATATTCTCTTTACAGGTAACATATTTCTTGATGCTGCAGGGCCTTTCTATTAAAGCAAATTCTGTAGACTAACATCATTCATATCTTTTGACACATGGTTAAAAGGCAGAATCTCTGGTCCCATCCTAGAAATAATGAACCACAGTCTACATTCTAACAGGTTTCCCAAGTATTTATATTGTACATTAAAATCTGAAAAGTTTGGTGGGCATTGTGGCACAGCAGGTTAAGTTGCAACTTCCAGAGACAACATTCCTTATCAGCATGCTAGTTCAAGTCCTGGCTACTCAGCTTCTGACTTGGGAACCAGGAGTTGATGATTCAAGTACCTGAGTTCCTGGAACCCACTTGGGAGATCCAGGAGGAGTTCCTAGCTTCCATTTGGCCCAGACCCAGCTGTTAAGGACTAGTGGATAGAAGATCGATTTCTCTCTCTCTCTCTCTCAAATTAATCTCTTTTAAAAATAAGTAAATAAAGGTCGGTGCCAAGGCTCACTAGGCTAATCCTCTGCCTGCGGCGCTGGCACCCCGGGTTCTAGTCCGGGGGGAAGGGAGTGCCGGATTCTGTCCCGGTTGCTCCTCTTCCAGGCCAGCTCTCTGCTGTGGCCCGGGAGTGCAGTGGAGGATGGCCCAAGTCCTTGGGCCCAGCACCAGCATGGGAGACCAGGAGGAAGCACCTGGCTCCTGGCTTTGGATTGGCGCAGCATGCCGGCAGTAGCGGCCATTTGGGGGGTGAACCAACGGAAGGAAGACCTTTCTCTCTGTCTCTCTCTCACACCACTGTCTATAACTCTTTCTCTCTGTCTCTCTGCAAAAAAAAAAAAAAAAAAAAAAGTAAATAAAAATAAATCTGAAAAATACTTATACCTAAAGCATTGTTTTTCAAGTACGGCCAATTATTTACTTATCAACATTGTGCAGAGCACATACGCTGTATCAGCTAATCAGCATTAAATATTTATTTATAATATTTAAATATTCTACATTATATAATACATTATATCTTTCAAATAAATCTTGAAAAAATAAATAAAACTGAAAAGAATAGTATTTATTTCTAGAGAATCATTTCTCAAGAGATCTTACTATCATTTACTTATCAGAAACACATGGATTATTGGTTAAAAGTGTAGACTCCTGGGATCCACCCTATTACACATGTCACTAAATTTTAAGAACACCAGGCCAAAGATTTACAAGTAAAAAATAGCGAAGAATAGACACAGGAGAATTAAGCAGATTGCAGTGAAAGAATTCAGATAGCAGAAATAAATTTAAAAAGTGACAACAGGAGGAGAGGATACAAGAAGTATAAAAAGGAAGGACGCTGGAATGTATGGAAAAACATACTCATCAGTAACAGAACCATGAAGCAAAAACACGTCATTAACCGGAGGTGTGGTGCATTTCTTTTTCTTTCTTTCTTTGACTATTATTCCTGATAGGCAAACTACTAGCATTCAAGTTTTAGAAAAGATTATGGAAAATATGTAATTTCCTTGTATAATATGCAAGAAGAGTAACATTTTTGAATATGTAACTACCATATAATGTATGAATTTTACAAATGCTCCCAATATCATGCAATTTTAAAAGTGTACATACGCTTTTAGAGACATTTCCATGTGCTGGGCTCGGGCAATTGCTTCATCTCTCTCCTTATTGGCTAACAGTAGTCTTGACATAATAGCTTCATCACGTTCCCTCTGTGCAAAATACACTTCTTCAACGAGAGCTATCAAAATATGTAACCCACAATCAGAGAAAAAAAGAAAAACACATATATTCAGTAAAAATAATTTCATTATTTTAAAAATCTTTATTCAATTGAATTTGTATCAATTGATTGAAAAAACATTGTTTTAATAGATAAAATTGCAAAATTAAATGTCATTTCATTCCCACAATAAGAGGAAAAGTTAAAAGGTCCAAAATTACCAATGACATGAAATTAAGAAAACTCTCAAAGATATTGCAAATAGGCATATATATTTTTACAAATAATTGAAGAGCAATTCAATAAGGTTTATTGAAGTTCAAGATGTGCCTAAGTTATAACCTAGCAAATCTCCTTTTTCATGCAGCCTAGAGAAATTCTTACACAAGTGTAAACAGAAACATGTATAAAAATACTACTACAGCATTGCTTACAATAGCAAAATCTTAGAAATAATACCAATCCACATGATGAGCAGCAATAAATAATTTATTCTACATTCAGAATGGAATACTATCCAGAATTTAAAATAAATTAACTATAAACACAAGGGCAAATACTCAAAACAAAAAGTTGGCAAAAGTAGCAAGCTGCAACATAAATCACTTCTACCTACCATCTATGAATAAGTTAGTAAGGATAATGAAGAGACCACAGAAATAATAAACACCACATTTAAGATAGTACTAATCTCAGTGGGAAGGAGAGAGGAAGAAAGGCAATGGATTACAGAAGAACACAAAGGGGCAAAGTGGGCTAATTCAGCACTACACATCCGCATAGAGCAAGCAGCACCATCAAGACAGACTGTACTACAAATGGCATCAACCAGATTTATGCAACATTATATGGGGGGTTTTGCTATTATCTGAAATTATAATTTCTTAAGCATAATTTCTACTGTTTGTATACTTGATATCTTATGTTATTTCAAAAGTATCACTTCAATGTTGGACAAAAAGAGACTCAAAGACCAGAATCAATAAATCAATTTACATTGTCAAACCACAAAATAAGCATGAAATACATTTGAAATATTCTTCTGCTTATGGAAACATTACGTTCATGCCTAAGGCTTGTTATAGATTAATACATAATTAGTTAATATAGCTATTATTGTACTACCTAAATTATAAATGGTAAAAAGAAAACAAAACCTGAGACTAAACCAATTATATGTTTTCCATAATAGGGCATAAAAAAGAAAAAAATGTATAATGAAATGGTTCAATATATAATTGAAATGGTTCAATACATTCTTTTTAAGGAAACATTGTAAATTAAGCAAAATACATCAAATCTTCGATCACAAATTAAACATTAGGGTGGGCATTTGGTATAGAAGTTAAGATCCAGCTTGGGCGGGGAGGGTGGAGCTGGCATTGTGGCAAAGTAGGTTAAATTATGCCTGTATTGCCAAATCCCATACTGGTGCCAATTCGAGTTCTGGCTAGATTCACTTTGTATCCAGCTCCCTGCTAATGTGCTGAGGAAAGCAGCAGAGAATGGCCCAAGCTATTTGGGGGCTGAATCAATGGAAGAAAGTGCTCTTGCACTCGCTCTCTCTCTTTCTCTCTCTCTTTTCTCTGTAACTCTGCCTTTCAAATTAATAAATCTTCAAAAACAAAAACAAAGAAGATACAAATTGGGAAGCTCAAATCCTATATTTGAGTGTCTGGATTCAAGTCTTGGCTGCATTTTAGATTCCAGCTTACTGCTAATGCATGCCATGGGAAGCAAAGATGACAGCTAAAGTAATCGGGTACCTGTCACCAAAGAGGAAATACAGACTGAGTTTCAGCCTCCTGGGTTCAGCCGAGCCCAACCTTGGCTACTGTCGACAATGGGGAGTGTACAATTGTATACAATATATCTCGGTCTCTCTGTCCTCCACATAATGAAAATTTTAAAAATAATGAAATCTCGCCGGCGCCGCGGCTCACTAGGCTAATCCTCCGCCTAGCGGCGCCGGCACACCGGGTTCTAGTCCCGGTCGGGGCGCCGGATTCTGTCCCAGTTGCCCCTCTTCCAGGCCAGCTCTCTGCTGTGGCCAGGGAGTGCAGTGGAGGATGGCCCAGGTGCTTGGGCCCTGCACCCCATGGGAGACCAGGAAAAGCACCTGGCTCCTGGCTCCTGCCATCGGATCAGCGCGGTGCGCCGGCCGCAGCGCGCCGGCCGCGGCGGCCATTGGAGGGTGAACCAACGGCAAAGGAAGACCTTTCTCCCTGTCTCTCTCTCTCACTGTCCACTCTGCCTGTAAAAAAAAAAAAAAAAGAAATCTCAAAAATTTAGAAGAATTGAAATCATACCTAGAGAGTTTTTTGATAATATTGGAATTAAAATAGAAAATAAATTTATAAAAAATAAACCACTGGGGGCTGCTGCTGTAGTGTAGAAGGTTAAGCCTCCATTTGTGGTGTTGGCATCCCATATAAGCGCAGGTTCAAGTCCCAGCTGCTTCACCTCTGATCCAGCTCTCTGCTAATGGCCTGGGAAAGTAGTGGAAGATAGCTCAAGTGCTTGGGTCCCTGCACCCATGTGGAAGAAGCTCCTTGCTCCTGGCTTCAGATCAGCCTAGCTCTGGCTGTTGCAGCCATTTGGGGAGTGAACCAGCAGATGGAAGACCTCTCTCTGTGTCTCTACTTCTGTCTATAACTCTGCCTCTCAAATAAACAAACAAATCTTTAAAAAAAAATAAGTAAACCACCAAATACTTGTTTATTAAGTAATGTATTTCTGACTAATCCATGGATCAGTGCCAGAGTCTCAGGAGAAATTAGAAAACATTGTGAATAAAAATGAAAATGCAATATACAAAGATCCGTGTGATGTAGCTAAAGAAATGTCTAGAGAGAAACGTATAATATTGAATGAATGCATTGGAAAGAAGCTCTCAAATCATTTTACACCTCAAGAAACTAGAAAAGAGGTAAACAAATCCAAAGCATCCAGAAGGAAGAAAATAATAAAGAAACAGAAATCAACAAAAATTGAAACAAAAAATACAGAAAATCAATGACATAAAAATCTAACTTTGAAATCAATGAACTTAATAAACTTCTAGTCAGACTGATCAGGAACAAATGAAGACAGAAATATATGCATATCAATAATGAATGAGGTAACACTGTTACAGATCCTATAGATACTACAAACAGAATACTATGAATGTTATATTCATAAATTCATCAACATATATTTGAAAAAGCACTTAACAGATGTCAGTTACCAAAGCTCACTGAAGTTGTTAGAATTTATGTTAGAATCTATATTTGAAAAGATTATATAGTTTTCCTCTTCTTGGTTTGTAAATGTGTTAATTTTGATGGATTTCTGAATGGGAAACAACTTGTATTACACAAAATGAATCACAGATATAATGCAAAATCTAAAACTACAAAACTTCTGGAAGAAAACACAAGAGAACACACCTGTGATTTCAGGTAAACAAAGATTTCTTAACTATAATAGCTGAGAATGATTTATTTTTAAAAAATGATAAATTGAATTCAGATTTAATTCAAGTAAAAATGTCTGGACTTCTAAAATTCAGTGATAAGAAAATGAAAAGAAAAGCCAAAAATTGGAAAAATGCAATTGTAAATATACATATAATAAAGGATTGCATCAAGAACATAATTTTTAAAAATACTTATTTGAGGGTCCAGCATTGTGGTGTAGTGGGTAAAGCCATATGGGTGCTGGTTTGAGTAACAGGTGCTGTACTTCCAAGTGAACTCCCAGTTGATAGCCTGAGAAAAGCAGTGGAAGAAGGCCCAAGTTCTTGGGCCCCCTGCCACCCCCATGGGAGACCTGGAAGAAGCCCAGCCCCAGTCATTGTGGCCATTTGGGAAGTGAACCAGCAGATGGAAGATCTCTCTTTCTCTCATTTTTTTCTCTGTAATTCATTCAAATAAGTAAATGAATCTTTTAAAAATGTTTATTTGAAAGGCAAAAAGATAGAAATAGAAAGAGAGAGAGATCTGGTTCACTCCCCAAATGCCGACAATAGCCATGGTTGGGCCTGACCAAGACCGGGAGAGAGGAACTCAATCTGGATTTCCTACATGGGTGGCAGGTACCTAACTAATTGAGCCATCACCTGCTGCCTTCCAGGGTGTACATTATCAGAAGCTGAAATGCAGAGTAGAGCTGGGACATGAACCTAGAGATTGCAATATAGGATGTGCATATGACAAGTGGTAACTTTACCAATGCACCAAACACCCACCCCAGACCATAATTCTTTAAATTTTTAAAATGCAGTAATAAAGGAACAATGCAAATTTTTAAAGGTGCAAAAGACCGAGACACAAATAGTAAATAAAAACAGAGGTGCTTAAAACTAAGGAAATACAAATTAAAATTGTAGTAACACCTCATATCTACTTCATTGATTAAAATTAAAGACTAACCACACCAAGTGTTATAGAACAACTGAATTTTATACAATGCTGATGTGAATATAAGATAGTAAAACTAGTGTGTCACTCACTTTCTTTAACAAAATGAAATATACTCCTACCATATTACCAACATAAGTTATAGCACATGTCCATACAAATACTTAAATACAAATATTCATAACATCTTTATATATAATAGCCCAAAACTAGAATTGACTCACATTTCTATTAGCAAATAAATGGAAAACAAAATATATGATAAACTGCATTGCAACAACAGGATATTCACATGCATAAAATAAAAATGCTTTTACTAAACAGCTTAGAAAGGGTTAATCAGAAAATTTGTACAAGGTTGCTGAGGGGCCAGAGTTGTGGCACAGTTGTGGTATAGCAGGTAAAGTTGCTGCCTGTGAAAAAGGCATTCAATATGGGTACCAGTTCGAGTCCTGGCTGCTTCACTTCCAATTCAGCTCCCTGCTAAAGTGCATGGGAAAGTAGTAGAAGATGGCCCAAGTGCTTGGGCCTCTGAGCCAGGTGGAAGACACAGATGAAGCTCCTGGCTCCTGGTATCAGACTAGCCCAGCTCAGTTGTTGCAGCCATATGGGGAG